TCTCTCTCTCTCCATATTGAATCCAAGGCCTAGTACATACCAGGCAGACGTTCTATCACTGAGCTACAACTTTATCTATGTTTATCTCTACATATGTTTCAAAGCTGAAATTAAATGAAAATGGAAGTCCTATGGATCTAGTGATTCTTTCATTTGTTTTACCTTTTGAGCTTCTTATTATACATATAATATATAAATAATTAATTTCTTTAAGGAAGACTACAGACATTAACATATCCCTTAAACATCTTATTTTTCTTTCTGATAGAAGTAATTTTTACTAAGATGCTTTTTTTCCAATAACAAGCAGCTATATTCCAATTCTTAATTCCCTATAGCTGAAACCTCAAAATGCTTTCATTATGTGTAGGATTAAATGAAAAAGTTCAATAATTTTCAAAAGGAAAATGTTTGGGAATAACAAATCATTTCACGAAGCCAGAGGAAATTAAATGGTGAAATATGGGACACACAGGTTTACTGATTAGACAGAAAGGATGACGGGGACAGTGCAATGCCAAATTCCATGTGCAAACAGGTGGCTTTTGTGGGGTTTCAGCTCCTTTTTGTTTTCTCTTTACAGAATTTTGGTGACAGTATAACTATATAACTTTGAATCAGAAGAGATCTTTACATGAAAAGTCCTTAATAAATGCCTATTGTCAAAACAATTAGATTCAAATTTTATTGCTTTGGATAAATTTGGTCCCTAGGATAATGACAATAAAGTTAAACAATCCGAACTGAGCTATTTTAGAAAATCAAATGAAAAAATATCACATATATAGAAAATATGCTATCAGCCCAATTCACAGAGCAGTACCGCATAGCACCATGTGACGGCATGACACAGTGAAAGCAAGACCAGTTCTGCAAGGAAATCCTAGCACAGCACGTCGTCCTCACTGGATCTGGCTTTATTAATAGTGCTCAAAAATGTTTGTCTTGGGCTGGAGAGATGGCTCAGTGGTCTAAAGCACCTACTTAGAACAAGCTTAGCAAAGCATCAGGGACCGCG